TCTATAAATTTGACTTCTTCATATTAAATTATTTTAATTTCATTGTATTATGTGAAATCATTTTTTTTAATCATGTTTCATTATTTATTAAAACTGATACCCATTTTGGTCATTTTACAACCAAACTTACTTTTACTCAACCATAATCCAAACAACCTTTTACCGATATCACTTTTGCAAACTAGCTTTTCTGAACTCTAATACAAACGCAATTCAGCTTATCCAAGTTAGTTTTTACCCAACTTCACTTTTCCATAAGCTACTTTTTCAATAAGCTACTTTTCCAATCGCTAATAAAAAAGGACCTTTAGTGTTGTCTTCACTTTAAAACTTAGTTCTGCTATAAATGATTTGGAAAAAGAGGAAGCTCAAATTGGAAATGATGAATTTTGTCTTTTTTCACACAAGGTATACGCCAAGCCAATTTATGAAAGTCTACAAGTGATTAAAGAGAAGAAAGAATCTAAGTAAAGAAAATTAGGGAGCTGATAGATTGGTTGAGTTGTGGCCAACAAATAGGAAAAATATCTTTCAATTATTTATGGATTTTATTATCACAAGGAATGGCCTTTTCTGTAACTATGTAACTATCAATGACCTCATTTGAGTAATAAATGTTCTACTCATTCCTTTATGGTTTGTTTTGATACTACTCTCAGTGTAGTGCAAATCAGCTTATCCATCATTTACAAATTATGCCCCTACATAAAAGAAACATAGCAGATACTTCCCACATATGTTGGTAATCTTTAATGTAAAGTTGTGCCATGCACTTGTTATTAACAATTAAACTAACTATATTAACAACTAATGTTGATAAGCACCACGCACTTGATATTAACAACTAAACTAACTATATTAACAAATATCATACTATGTATTAACAACTGCATTAATTGTATTAACAAATATCATGGTATGTATTAAAAACTATATTAACAACTAATGTTGATAAGCACTACACACTTGATATTAACAACTAAACTAACTATATTAACAAATATCATACTATGTATTAACAACTACATTAATTGTATCAACAAATATCATGGTATGTATTAAAAACTAATGTCAATTTGCATAGTTAAGAACTATTGCAACATTTTATTAAATACTGATATCTACATGTACCACATACTTGTCATTAACAACTAAATCAGTTGTTTTAACAATTATCATTGCATATATTAACAATTAATAAGCATCATATAAAGTTCTCTTGAATAAAAGTTGGGTAAAGTAAGCATCATGTCTTATTTTCTAAGCGTATCTAATACTTTTATTTTTATCGATGGTGTATCCAACACTTTTAGATAACACTTACAGAGATACATACCACCAACAAGGTTGATAAACCTTGTTGCTAGGTGATCAAAATTTTACTAGGGAAATGCAGCAAGTGAGGCAATACCTAGGTCATTCTTCTCAAGAAGCCTTAAGTTGTAATTCAATTCTTAACAATTCACTTTTAATTATCAAATTACCAAGATGAAAGTTTGAGTTTCAGAAAAGAGAAATTGAAACAAGAAACAAATCCAATGAAAGGTAAAATGCAAAAGAGATTCAGATAAGAGATAGTAGTTCCCCTAGCAATTTATCCAACCTTCCTTGTTCAATCTTATAATTTGGAGTCTCTCAAAGTCAATTAAATGGATAGATTCAGCTACTGCTCAAATCTCTCTAAACATAGATCAGAAACAACTATCTTACTAGATTCATTGTCTTGCTCTGGTGAGAAGGAAAATCAATTGACAAGAACACTTGAGAAGCAAGTTGCAATTCTCTAAGGATGATCACAACTGTGAATCATCAATTCATTCAATCAAAATTTAGAATTACAGAACAACAGTCCAAGTAAAAATGAATTAGATCTACAAATCAACAGAGAATGTTCTATTCAACCAAATCAAGGACATAACTCACATCTGAATGTTCAATCAGATCTAAATTCCAAGAAACATAAATCTAATCACCCAACCTTCATTCTAATCACAAATGTTCAACTGAAACAAATGAATCTTAGAATAGAAAGTGGAAAATAGATCTGAAACGACTCCCTGTTCAGTCCTATGAACTCAGGTCAGCTTCATTGCTAGGAGAACTTGAAAATTCAGCTACTCATACTCTGAATTGGAGCAGAAACAGTAAGAATTGATGAAGGATTCATAGATGATCGGTGGAAAATGATGGATTTGGATGAAAATGGAAGAGAGAATTGAGAGAAGGCAGAGAGAACAAGGAAATCGGCATCGGGAGAGAATGAAGAACTAAATCTGGCGTCCTCCAATTGTAGCGCGCGACTCTGTATTTAAATCTGAAATTTTCCGTCATCCGCCGCGGTGCCTTTGTTCATCCATCGCAGCGCCTGGCCTATATGGTGTCGTTTCAATGAGTGATCCTGAGCTTCATGTAAATTTCGGTCCGTCGTGGCGCATCCGTCCATCGGTCGTGGTGCCTTTGACCGAGAGTACCTTTAGATATCCGTCGCGGCGCCTTTCCAAATCCGCCGTGGCGCCTCAGACAGAATGGCAAAAAATGCTAGTGAACTCCCTGAAATTCACACCAAGACAGGGATCAAAAGTACACACATATAAAATCATATAAAAACATGCAAAAACACCAGTAAAACCTCATAATTCCTTTCACCAACTCTTATGCACAATGAAAGCTAAATATACCCAAAGTATGCAAATATAAATTGCAAAAGCATGAGTTTAGGGCTAGAAATATATGCAAATAATGAGACTTATCAAAGGTTCTCACATAAAGAATAAAATTTTAACTCACAACCTTATAAGTTATTGTTGGAAATTGTGCCCTAGGGTATTGTGTTATGAACATTGTTGATTTATGAATTTCTTAATTATGTTATCATATTATTTGCATGTTTACTGTGATGACTATCCTTGGATAACTCATGATTTATCCTAAATGTCCCTGGTCGGTCATCTATGTGGGAGTAGAGATGAATTAAGACTAGAATGACTTTGAAGATATATGGAGATATAAATCAAAGTCATAGGCACACGTAAGAGTACAAGGTGTTGGACCGACCCGCTATAAGAGAGCTGCATGGGTTAAGTCATAAGCTTCTCTCATATACAAACTATGTCACTGTGCCCTTTGACCTGAGATCATCATGGATTCCTACATAAGAAACGCTCAGCTTTGACCTAGTCAAAAGTCACTTTTGACCGAGTGATCATAAAGACTATGTTTAGGCTTAGTGGTTTTTCAAGCGGAGGAATGTGAATGGTCAAGATGGAATTTGTCCCTCACATTCGTAGAGAGATATTACTGGGCCCCTCGATGAGTGAGTTTGAGAAATGTATGGCCATACTATAATGGAAAGGTAGTTCCATTTCTATACTCAGACTACTCAGGGATCGAGAAAGTAACAGTTATGAATAGGAGGATGACGTTCTCCATGCCTCATCCATGACCAAAATGTCGTGTGACAAAAGGGACGTGATATGGTTGTATGAAAGGTTACATCGTTCAATGATCCTCATATGATTTGGGTAGTCGTGTTGTCTTGCTAGAGACTGCTTACGACTTGTGAGTCATTATAGTTAATGGCCCACTGCCAACTTCATATGGGCCTACAGGGTCACACACAAAATAGCCCAACACGAGCTATGATGTCCAGATTCGTTGAATCTAAGATATGTCCATATTCAATGAATAATATAGGGTGGACGTATATATATATAAATTCATATATATATACATATTATATAAATATAAGAGATATTAATTATTAGATTTAATTTATAAGGATAAATTAGATCTATATCAATTTTAAAATGGTAAGATATAATATAATATCTCAAATTTGATTTATGAGAATAAATCAAATATAATTCCGTCATATCTTTATTTTGAATTAAATAAATAGGTGAATTAAATCTGTGGGACGGATTTAACCATATTTATTTAATTGTTTTCTTATCTGATTAGGCAATATTTGATATTGTATTAATTTTGGAATTAATTTAGGATTAATTTCGAAATTAAATATCCTTCATAATACCTATAGCATCTTATATACTTGATATTAGGAGCTAGGGTTTTTGGGGTGAGTGTGGAAAAACTTGCAGATAAGAGACGGCCAAAAATAGAGAAGGGAGGACGGATTCTTCAAACATAAACCCTAGAAGGACAAGAGGTGCTAGCACGTCGTTCGTGATTGGAACGCTGTTCGTGTGGATACCGGTAGAGGAAGTCGATCTAAGTTGTTGACTTCGAGCAATAAAAGAGGCGAGCAGAGGCATCCTAAACGGCGGAATCCCTGAGCCACCAAGAAATCGAACACTGAAGGTAATACTTCTTACTACTTAAACACAATCGATAGATCCGGGCAAGGGATTGAAAATTTTAAATTTATTTTCCGTTGCGCGTCTTTCAATTCCCTTCAGTTATGAGCCGACTCTTTACCAACCAGGTTGACTCTTATTAGTACTTTCTTATTTAATTTTTTTTCCCTCAATAAAGTTGCTCCTCGCTAAACCAACACATATTTTAGCAGCGAAAGAACTTTTTTTTCCTTTGATTTTTTTTTTGGTGATAAGGATGTTGATAGGCCAGTTTTTTAAATGAGAAATTAGGACATTCTATAAAAAAGAAATTAAAATCAAAGTGCAGTGTATAACAACTTTTTATTTCTTGAAAGATTTTTTTGTATATTTTTAAAATTTATGAAAAGTTCACATAACTTTGATAAACTTCATAAGAAATTTATTTAATTTCTTATCAAACAAGACAACCCATTTTATGATTACTGTTTTTTGCCCCTCTTTTTTTCTTTTCTAAAGGCACAAAAATAGAGGGTAAGTTGCTGAGAGTTATCATAGAATAGGTACCTCGATTTAATATTTGTGCCTGTTATTTTTTTAGTTTTTTTGTTATTGTTCTATTATTATTTTTACCTGTTATTTTTCTATTTTGATATTGTTATAAAGAGATTTTATAATCACCAGAATTCGAATATGGTATTAGATCAACCAGAAGAGGTATGCATAAAAGTATTTGTCTCAAGGAAAAATCCTAGAGTTCCCTCTATTTTCTGGGTTTGGAAAAGTGCGGATTTTCAAGAAAGGGAATGTAACACCTTACGTTTACGACCTTATATTGTGCCAAGTTAAGACATTCGGAAGCAATTTAAGGTTACCGGGTTGAAAGGCCTAAATTTGAAAAATTCTTTTCCTGCATTACTATTCATTGTAACCTTAAACTTGGCATAACTTTGAAAAATCATAACTAATTCTAGAAAAATCGAAACAAGGTCGTTCCAAGTCTCACTCGAAGCTCTTAACATCATCTATCAAGGAAAAATGACCTCAGGTTCCAATTTAATCAGAAATGCATCCGTTTTTAATTTCAAAAAGTACTGTTCATTTGGTCATTTTTCTATTTTCCAGGATTTTTGCCTAACTTCGAAAAGGCATAACTTCTCACACAGAGCTCCAATTGTTACGCTTTACAACTCATAAATAAGATCTATTTGCATGCCAAATTTCAGGGAAAAAGTCAACCAATTGACCAGGGTCTTCATTGGTCAAAGTTTGGTCAAATCTAGACCATTTTTATCCCCTTTTCACTAATTCTAACAGCATTTCGTTTTTCACTATAATCATACCATAATCACATATAAAGCTGCTCTACCATTTAAATACATTCAAAAGAGTTATCATATCATGTGTTTATGATCAGAGTATGCTTACATGGCTTGAAAGAGAAAGGTTCAAAACCGTATAATACAATACATAATTCATAACTTCCTCAAGCCATGATTATTTCCTTTCCCTTCTCCTTGGCAGTAGTGGCACCTAGGATATCATGTTATAGGAGGAATGAGATTTCATAGAAATCCCAGTAGCATTGAACATACAACCATCAAGTCAACATGCATAAGATGTCATGCTACATGCAGTAAAATAACATTTCTAGTGTTTATGCCATACCATAACCATTCTGTATCCATGTCATCATATCAGGGAGCATATAATCATTCTGGTCAAAACTCAATCATGCAAGAGTCAAGGCATACATTGCAAGGAGTTCACATCATATGGGCATAAACATTCTCATGGCACATAAACACACATAGCAGAAACACCAAATGCAGATCAACAAAATAATTGCAGTTCACGCTACCTCAATTCCACGCTTAATGTTTCCTCCTTGTTTCCTTGCTTGAGATCCTCCTAGGTTTCCAGAAAATTGCCTATCAACCATACAGTAAGGGTATGGTAAATTCCATATCCAATATACAATTCTTTCTCTATACAATGCTACCCTTCTGCCTTTTAATTTATAATTTCTGTATACCGTTCCTAAACCCTTGACTTTGGTTTGACCAAACCTTAATCCTCAATTAAGGTCTTGGAATTCTTCCTTAATCCATGATTAATCATGCTTTCTTGGTTAATCACTAACCCTTAATCCTTAATTCAATATTTAATTAAGGTCCTCAAGTCACATAGTCATTAGTACAACATAATCTTCTAAGATTAAGTCACTAATCCCTTATGGATTAACCATTAATCATTCTCTAATCAACATGATTAACCATTAATCATTCTCTAATCAACATGATTAACCTTTAATCATTCCTTAATCAACATGATTAATCATAATTAATCATCCTTCAATTAGCATAACTAATCACTAATTACTAATTAATCAAGGTAGCTAACCTTAATTACTTACTAATCTTTAATCAAATAACATGATTAATCTTAGCTATCACTAAACCATAATTAATCAAGGTAACTAATCCTAATCTTCCTCAAATAAATAATTAACTAAAAATAATTAACACTTAGGGAGGTAAACATACCTTAATTAGCTCTTAATCGGCGATTAGAGGTGTCTAACTTTGCTTTCTCCCTTTCTCTCTCTTCTTTCTTCCTTTCTCTCTCCTAGAACTCAAGAACACAACATTCCCTCTCATGCAAACCACCTTGGCCGAATTCTTCATGGAAGGGGGGGTATTTATAGGCTTTGATATTTCAAAATTCCAAAAATGCCCTTCGGGAAAAAGATGCGATCTCGGCCGTCCATTTTTTTCTACTTTACACATGGACAAATCTTAGGGCACACACCATAAGAAGTTGACACATGGATGGACACCTAATCACCATGTGATTTTCATGTGGAAATAAAATATTATTTTATTGTTTTGTCTCTTATTTCCCTTTATGCCCTTGAACAATTTGGAAAATTCCAACTTTGTCCTCCCCCTTTATTTTGGCCGAAATATTACTCTTAATATTGGAAAAAAAATGACTCATCCAATAATCAGTGCAATCCACTGATTATTTGTATATTTCCGGTCCGATTTTCCAACAATCCTGTCCAATTTACTGTCACAAAATTTTGATTTCAACACCTCATTAAATTCCCCTCATCCCAAGGGTAATCCATAATTTTTCTCAAGTTTTACCTCCCTCTATAATTTTCTAAGTTTTATTCTGTCAAAAATCACTATTCTACCGATAATAATTCGGTAATAAATATTCTTTAAGCTAACCTCTGTACATCCAAAGGTGGGAAGTAATTTTATAAATTAGGATAATATGTCACATAATTTATCCATATTTTTTCTTGAATTTTTGAGGCCTCTATATATTTTAAATAATGGAAATTGGCTAATTTTCCTTAATTAACCAAAAATTCCAATAATTACAAATAATTCCCTGATAAATTATTTTTAATCTTATATTCATCTTCTAAGCCTCAAACATTATTTGTACCCTCCTTTCTATTTTTCATGATTTTCTGGGAATTTTTAGGAATTTTGGACATTATTTCCAATACTGCCCTTTCTTGACCGATCTTTTCAAAAATGACCGTTATGTCCCTATCCTGATTTTTCCTCATAGCCTGGATCCTCTACCAGTCTACTATACTATTTGGCCTTAGTCAGTCACAAATCATTCATCAATTAGAATAAAATTATCAGGGTGTGACAGGGAATCTTATGATATGTTAGGAATTTCTTATGATAATCATCAACATCTGAAACGTATCTTAATGCCTGAAAGTTGGATAGGATGGCCCTTGTGTAAAGATTAGTAAGATCTTTGGCCAAAGAAGAGGGGTTGATCCGTATCACCTTGACTTGGTTCTGATTTCTTTATTTTTTTTAAGAATACCGAGTCGGGTTCTTATGGTTGATCTAATTTGCATTATATATCTTTATGCTCATTGTCACATCCTGAATTTTTTGTCCTAGAAGTACCAAAATTAGCCTGTAATGGGTAGGCTACCAAACCCTTTTTGGCAGATGTAACATCCCAAAATTTAGAACCCTAATAATGGGAGTGTGCGAAATGAGATATGATTGATAAGCATAAGGTATGAGTAAAGCATAAAAACCCAAAATGGGACGAAACCGACTTTATCGGGTCCCTAGGGGCAAAACGGTAATTTTGAAAAAAGTTTCCAAAAATTACTTAAAGATAGAAAAAAATGGAATTAGAGGTTTTTGAGTTACACATGATGTTTTGGGAGTGAGAATAGTCCAAAATAAATTTTGGTGAAAATTCCCAAAAAATTAATTATTTTTGGGAAAATAGGGAAAAATAAAGGGAAATTAAAGTAATAAAATTATTTTAATTACCTAAGGACTCCGAAAATCCAAGGAAAAATATGGATACACTCCCTAGGAATATATATGAATTGATAAAATTGTTTCCAAGAATTGGAAATACAGGAAATACTTTACGGGGAATTTATTTCCAAATTCCTATCGGTAAGAACCCGATTTCGGAGAAAATGTGAAATAAATATCTAGAGGTCTTGAAAAATTCCCAAAACTTCCAGATCACAATATTGGAATAAATAGGGAATTATCATGAAAGGAAATGAAATTTTTGAAGCCCCTAGCTATTTTTCCTAGTAGAGGGCAAGAAATCGGGTATTATGTGACCGAATGAATTTTTAAATTACCCTAACTAATTCCATTGCTTCCTAACCAGTTTTTACCATTTAGTTAGCATCCAACAAGGCCCAAATTCGTGCTCACCATGATCAGAACAGCTGGCTTGTGTGCTGGGCAAATTTTCAACCATTGGATCAACTCTCTTGGAAAGTGAGTCAAAGCATGTGTGGCTAGGATTTGTTCTTCATTTTGGCCGACATTTGCACTTATTTTGGGGCAGAAATAGCTGCCCAAGGGCAGGTTTTTGGGCAGTAAATGAGCTCTATAAATACCCCCACAAGGCACTCAAAATTCGGACAGAATTGGGACAATAGAGAGGAGGTTCTGCACAATTTTCTTCTTGGCTTCCAAACACTCCTCAAATCACCTCCAATCCAAGGTTAATCATCAAGCTTTAATCCAAGACTCCTTGAGGTATGTTTAGGCTTTAATTTGATGCTTTTTTCATGGTCAAACCGTGACTTAATTTGAGGGGGAAGTGCTGTTTCATTTCTGTTGTGCTGGAAGTGCTAGGAAAGGATAGGAAATTGAGTATGAGTTGTGTTGTTGATGTTTGGTGCGGTTTTGAATGGGTTATGGAAGAAATTACCCTATGAACTATGACTTTTTAGTTCAGCCAACTCAAGAACTCAAGAGTAGGAATTGTTTCAATAAGTTTTAGTGGTCCCAATGGATTTAAAATGTGATGGTATGTAGGATTATGCTAAGGAAGTGTGTTCAAATTCATTGGAATCAAATATGAAAATTTATGAACCTAATAGGAAGTGTTCAGCCATCTTGAATATATGGAATTATGATTGGATTTTGATGGTTTTGATGCTTCCATTGAACTCCTTGGGCTTTTTGTGTAGGGTTATATGGAGGAATTGAATTTGGAAGCATTAAAAATCAAAGTTGGAAATTTTGACATTTTTCCTTGGAAAATTCGTTTCTGTTTTGACCAGAACTTAAGGAAGGGATTTGATTTTGTAAAATTTGATTTGATATTTGAATTCTACATGAAAAACCATGTAGGAATGGCCAAGGAGGTTTCTTGAATCAAAAGGAAAACAATTAGGCCAAAAATCCCAAAAAGAAGGGTTTAATGTTTAAGTAATAGGGAATGTGTTTGAATAATTGTGGAATGATTGGCATTGGTGTTGGTTTGATAGGTACCTTGCCAAATCCTCAAGAAAACATCTTGAACTTAAAGGAAATCAAGGACCAAGTACCAAAAGGTAGCATTGAATTACACTTTGATTGTTTTCTTGCTTACATTGATGTGTTAATGTGAATGTGTGCAATGTATGCCATGATGTGACTAAGCTTTATTGCAAATGTTGATTGCAATGTTTGAATTATGTTGCCTTGGCATTATGTCCATTGAATATGTGTATGATAGCTTACTTTCCATGGCATAAAAGCATGAACATATGAACAAGATATCTGCACAAAAGCATTGCACGTAGTGTTTGCAGGAATGCATGATAATTGTGATTCTGTGCTACTGGGATTTCTTTGAAATCTCACTCTTATGTTTAACACCACTTAGGAGGGAGTTCAACCAAGGGCAAAGGAAAGAAATTGTCCCGGAGACCTAATGAACAATTAATGTACCCTAGTGTAAATTTTTGGAACTTGTTATGTAATATTATGACTTTGGAAATGTTTGTTGGATAATAGCTCCTAAGGGGAGCCAAGCATGTATGTCTATGTTTAAACATGTGAAAGCCTAGTAGAATGTATGTTCAAGCTTGTATTAAGCCTCAAATAATTAAGGATGGGTAAAAGGTTATGAAAGAGTCATTACAAAGGTAATTAGGGGATAACATTTGACTAAAAAGGACCAAACTTGGTGCATATGAAATAAATAGCAAATGTTTGAATATGGATTTGAAATTTGGCAGACTAATAGATCATATTTTTAGCTTTAAATCAAGTGGTAGATCATTAAATTTGGAATTTTGTAGAAGGAGTTATGCCCTTTCGAAGTTGGATAAAAAATACTGGGAATTTCAGAATTTTCCAAATGAACAGTACATAATTGCGTGGGAACTAGGATTGATCTGTGAGAAATTGATACCTGTGAACAATTTTTCTATGTAGAGCATTTCATAAGCTTCGTGTGAGACTTAGAACTACTCTGTTCCGATTTTTCTACATTTAGTTATGATTTTTCAAAGTTGACCTGATTTTTAAGGGTTACATGAATAGTAACCGAAATCAAAATTTTAAATCTTGGTTTTTACCTACTTTGAGCATCGTGTAACGATTCCAAATAGTTCTAAAGGACGTATAATGGGGTTTAAAATGAAGGTGTGACATTTTTGGTATCAGAGCAAAGGTTCTGGACTATCTTTTATATGTACTGTTCGATAAGGTAATGCATTAGGATAATGCATATTTGATTGTGTGTGATGTGTTATGTCGTGAAAGGTGTGCATTGGACTAACCTTGATGCAGGATATGGCTTGTTGTGAGCATGATTCTCCTGCGGGTACAGTTGATCAGAGAGGGCCAGGGGAACCATACCCGGACTGGTATCACCCACATGTTTCTGACCCTGATGACCCGACTCCACCACCCAGATATTATCAGCCTCTCTGGGAGGTAGAGGATATAATTCCCGAGGTAGACTCCAACGGTAGTAAAAGGTTAGAGGATGATGAAGCTGGGAGTGCTATGGGGCTAAACTGAACCCGGACAAAGCCGGCCCTAGTGGGACGAAGCCACAACCATTAGAGTAGTGCGCCGTGATCAGATCTTAGAGAAGGACCTGCCTCCGAAGAAGAGGCGACGGTTAGTCACAAAGGAGTTGCACACCTATCAGGCTATTTTTAAGGAGCTCTGTAAGCTGGGGAGGAAGATTGACATCTCCCAGAACCAGTATGGGTACATTTACATGGACTATTTTTACTACGTACGACTGTTACATAGTGATGTCACTGACCAGGACAAGGGAGAGATAGATGAGGAGATGTGGGGACAGGCCTTAGTCGACACTTTGCCAAGGACCCCTGTTTGGCAGGATCAGATCCAGTTGATTAGTGACCATTCCAAGCAAGACGCCTATGGAAGCTTTGATCAGATCTTGGACGAACTTGAGCTTTTTGTTACTTCTTATTTTCCTTTCTCTCCCCTATCTTGAGTGGATGACTGTATATGTGACTTAGATGATCTATGTTTTGGATGATTATACCTGAAACCTATCTATGTACAAATATGAAGTATAGCTTAGTATAAAATATTTTGATAACCAAGAAATAATCTTATTCCTCTGTTCCTCTTGTAGTAAAAAGTTAAGTAAAATGGTGAGAACCCGAAGAGAAACACAACCAAGGGAGGCAGCAAGGGAACCTCCTATTGACCCGATTCAATTGGTTATGGACCGACTGGAGGAACAGCAGAAGGTGATGCAAGAAATTCAGGCGGCCCAAGCCCGCCAAAACCAGGAACGCGATGCTGCCATAGCAGCCGCAGTGACAGCAGCTATAGCACAGCTGCAACAGCCCGGGCCAAGCGTGGCCGAAGCACCACAGCCAGCTCAACCTCAAGAGCCGGTAGCTGAGCAGATACGACCTGCAGGGGATCCTGATTCACTAAGACAGTGGATCAAACGATTCAGTGCACAGAATCCCCCGAGTTTCACAGGGACATTGAATGTCCAAGTGGGTGAGGACTGGATTACTCGGCTAGAGAAGATTTTTAATGTGCTTGAATGTTCTTCTGAGAGAAAAGCTTAGATGGCTATCTACAAACTGGAGGGTGAAGCTGATCGCTGGTGGAAGAACACCGAGATGATCCTCCAGGAGAATGCAACCCCTATTACCTGGGAAGTGTTCAAGGAACACTTTAATTTGAAATACTTCCCACTGTCAGTAAGAGACGAAAAAGAGGTGGAATTTCTGATGATTCAACAAGGTCCTCGAGAGTCCTTTGATGAGTACCTAGACAGGTACATGAGGCTCTCTCGTTACTCTAACTACCTCCAACTCCGCAATGATGAGCGGTGGAAAACAGAGAAAATGGTAAGGGGACTAAGGCAGAAGCTGAGGGAGAAGGTAGCTCCACAGCAACTTGAAAAGTTCACCAGGCAGTGGAAGCCTGCCGGATTACTGAAAGTAGCCTGAACCACCAGGCGCTAGTCAGGGCTGCTCCTAGACCAGAAGGACCAGTAACAAGGAGCGGACCAGAGGGGACTTCTTTTGGAGGAAATAGGAAAAGGCGAAAGCCTATCTTTTCCAAGAAGTCTAAACGAGGAGGAGGAGTAAGGCAAGGAGGAAGCAGCACTACACGTCAGACCAAGGAATGTAGCACCTGTGGTAAAAACCACGGAGATCGACCCTGTTTGATGGGTCAAAATGTGTGCTTCCGATGTGGCAAGCCAGGACACTATATAAGGGAGTGCCCCCTTAATGTGGATGGCTCGAGGCCCTAAGCTCAAGGGAGGGTCTTTGCCCTCACAAAGGAAGAGGCTGATAAGTCACCTGAGATGATACAAGGTACGATTCAAGTTAATAATTACCTTGTGCATGCTATCTTTGACTCGGGTGCTAGCCACTCCTTTGTTTCATATGAATGCGTGAAGCGCATAGGCCTTGCTGTTAACACATTATTATATGATCTATGTGTGGCTACTCCTACAGGCACCAAAGTTTATACGTCTGATGTTTGCCTAAATTGTATTGTCTGGTATGGCCACTGTTGCACTACACTTGACCTAATATGTATGCCTTTTCATGAGATTGATGTGATACTTGGTCTGAATTGGTTGTCTACCCATAATATACTCCTTGACTGTAAGAATAGGACTTTGATTTTTCCTCCCCATGAGCTAACCCCTCATACCGAGGTGAAACTGAACTTGATTACGGGAGCCCAAGCCGGAGATTGCCTAAGACATGGCTGTCAGGGGTACGTGGTATTCTTCTCTGTACATACAGAAGTGGAAGAAGGCATATCAGAGATACCCGTGGTATGCGATTTTTCGAAAGTCTTTCCGACAGAAATTAGCGGGTTACCTCCGGAGCGAGAGGTAGAGTTTGCAATTGACCTAGTACCTGCGGCAGGGCCAATTTCCAAAGCCCCATATCGTATGGCTCCAAATGAAATGGCAGAGTTAAAGAAGCAATTAGAGGAACTATTAGAAAAGAATTTTATCCGGCCCAGTGTGTCACCATGGGGAGCACCCGTCTTATTCGTTCGTAAGAAGGACGGTAGCCTAAGGTTATGCATTGATTACTGGGAGCTCAACAAAGTGACGATTAAAAACAAGTACCCACTACCTAGAATAGACGATTTGCTAGACCAATTAGCTGGTGCCACAGTGTTCTCCAAGATTGACTTGAGATCAAGTTACCACCAACTGAGGATTAAAGCAGAGGACATTCCGAAGACCGCTTTTCAAACACGGTATGGGCACTACGAGTTCTTGGTAATGCCCTTTGGACTAACGAATGCCCCTACGATTTTCATGGATTACATGAACAGGATCTTTCGGCCATATTTAGATCAGTTTGTGGTGGTTTTCATTGATGATATCTTAGTATATTCTAAGTCACCAGCGAAGCATGAACAGCATTTACGGATTGTTCTAAGTATTTTAAAGGAGAAACGGCTATATGCCAAACTCAGCAAGTGCGAGTTTTGGCTGAATGAAGTAAAGTTCTTGGGTCATGTGATTACCCAAGATGGAGTAGCAGTAGATCCCAGTAAGGTGGAAGCAGTTTTGAGTTGGGAGCAACCAAAAACAGTAATAGAAATACGAAGCTTTCTGGGATTGGCAAGTTACTATAGAAGATTTATTAAAGATTTTTCGAGAATTGCACAGCCCCTGACTAAACTTACACGTAAGAACCAGCAATTCGTGTGGGATGATAAATGTGAGGCTAGCTTCCAAGAGCTGAAACGGAGGTTGACCTCGACCCCTGTGCTGATAATTCCCGATCCAACCCTACTGTATGTTGTATATACCGATGCTAGCAAGCAAGGATTGGGGTGTGTATTAATGCAACAAGGACGAGTAGTCGCCTATGCCTCATGACAGTTAAAGTCTCATGAAGAGAATTATCCCACTCACGACTTAGAATTAGCTGCAATATTTTATGCCTTAAAAATCTGGAGGCATTATCTATATGGGGCAACCCTTGAACTATATTGTGACCACAAAAGTCTTAAGTACCTGCAAGATCAAAAAGAACTAAACATGAGACAACAGCGATGGATGGAGTTGCTCAAGGATTATGACTACCAGATAAAATACCATCCGGGCAAGGCTAATGTGGTAGCTGACGCCTTAAGCCGAAAGGTAGTACAAGTAGCATTCCTAATGATTCAGGAATGGAAACTCATCGAAGATGTGAGAGATTGGGAACCTTTGTCCCATATGAAACTAATGACTCAGAAAGTAGAGGTGATGAGAGCAGGAGCCCAGCTGATAGAACAAATCAAAGAGGCCCAGAAAAATGATCCGGTAGCTGATACACTTCGGATTAAGCTAACAAAAGCTGAGGATGATGCGATTGAGGCGTCACCAGATGGAATATTGAAGTATAAGGAACGGGTATATGTTCCGGAGTCCATCAGGCAACAACTATTGGAGGAAGCACATAAGAGCAAATATACGATACATCCGGGAATGACAAAGATGTACCAAGACCTCCGATGTATATTTTGGTGGCCTGGCATGAAGAAGGACATAACAAAGTATGTATCTAAATGCCTCACTTGCCAGAAGGTCAAAACGGAGCATCAGAG